CGAACAGTATTCAATCTCAACGTCCATAAAACAATATACAAAATAAGAGCAGAGCAAACACGGACCTCCGAAACATCAGAGGTGGGATCAGGTGCCATTGAGTAGTGAGCATCCCCTGCCGACCGGTTTCACCGCCCTGTGCTCCTTGTCATGATCAGGAAATAACGGAAAAATCCGTCGTCAAGTGTAAAAATAATGGACTAACAATTGGTATGAAAAAAGTCCGTCAGCATTTGACTCAATAATAGATTGTATTTGCTGACAAGGTCATTGTATTGACCATAAAACTTGATGATGACTTTAAACGAGACAGCTGATATTTTTGTTTCATCAACTTGTTTGTCAATAATTTGCCTCGTTTAAGGGACCTATATGTCCGAAAAGCTTTGTGTGAAATTTTCAAAACTTTGACATTTCTCTCCTGACCACTTGCTCTTAATTTTTTGGTATTAAAAACAATATCTTTATGTGCTTATTTTTACACAGGAGCACGTGCAAAAACAGTGTGAAATGGTAAAAATAGATTATTTTCAGACATTATTGTTTACCCCCAAAAATGCTCTAAAAAGAACCAAAAATGTCAAATAACTTTCAAAATCAACAGGTTTTTAATTTACATACTTGTATCTTTAAAATGAAGGCAATTCATTATTTATTCGCATGAAAAATTATAATGGAGCACAATGTAAGTATAACTACGTTTTTCTTGCATTTTTAACAATTCCGACATACATAACAGGTAATAACTTCAAAAGTCTTTGTGTGAAAATGTTGTAATTCATATTTTTTGAAAGAACTGGTTTATCTCTTTATTCTAACAAAGAAAACGGTATACCTTTATGATAAAATAAATGAGAAATATGACGATTTCTTTTATTTTCGTACTATTGTGTAATAAATATTGACCTTTCTGCACTAAAAAAAAAGTAAGTAAGCACTGACAAACATCCGAATATAAAAATATATTTTGGGAAAAAAGGGTATTTTGTTTTCATTAGAAACAATTTAAGGTAGGATTCTTCTCATTTAAAAATTTATGAAATTTTCACAGAATCAAAAAACAATATCAGTAAGTGATAGTATCAGTGAAATTAATTTCGACCGTTTTATATAAACAAGGTCAGGTCAAGGTCATTATCTTTTTCATTGACATTAAGAATAAAAAACAACTGTTGCCAATCATGTTGTACCTACTTCTATTTCAAAAGTTTAATGATTGTTCTTTTTCATTAAAACCAATTACTATATCGGGTCTAAAGCATGATATTACCAAAATTACATAAATAGTTTAACTTAACTGGATATTGGTATGAATTTTCTCTGTTTTCTTAAGTTTTTTGGATATATTAGTTATTTTCATGTGCTTCCTATATTCAACTTTTTCTTATTTTCACATATAATAAAGTAGTATTATAAATGTACAAAATGAACAAAAACAAAAAATTTTATGTTTTCTAAGAGAGAAAAAATACTTTTTATGGATTTTTGGCTCAAATTTGCACTTTGATAGGGAGCGTTAAAAGCTAATAAAGTTCTAGTTTGTCTGAAAAATCATATTCATTTGATAAATTTTGAAAGTTTAGTCCCTATTATTAATCTAACATACATTTGAAAATTTCTCCAAGTCTTCATTGGTAAAAATTATAACTAAATTCCTTGTTTATTATAATTTTGAGAGGCAAAAAGAGATATTTTTATACGCCACCATTCCGCCAAAAATATAGTCCCTGCTAATTTTCAAACGCAGTTTACCATTTCTATTTAAAGTTGTACACTTCTGATGAGGAAAGAAAAATATGGTCTTTTAAATTCCTTACACCTCAATGTATAAGACATATCAGCAAATGTACTTTTTAAAGTCTCATCTAGTCAGAAACCAGAGAAGAATCCTACCTTAAACAGAGTAATTATTTTCTTCTTCATTCCAATCATTCTGTTTCTCTCCCACCCCATTTCCCCGTCAGCAACCAACACCTATTAGAACCTAGGAATGACTTTACACAATAAAATCTACATGTACAATAAATCAATAAGCAAATATAGGTACTAGTACATTTCTTAATTTTTTTTCTTAGTTTTATCCAGAAAATACAATTACTGTTAAACATAAAATTAAACATATTTCCCTGATTTAAACTGCTTTCTTTGCTGAATTTTATCTTATCTTTTTGCACTTATATATCTGCATATCATCGAGGTATTTATTCACAACTGAAATTGATATGTAATATCAACCAAAGGAAAAAAATTCTAATATTAACAAACTCCATAAATCAAATAAAACTGTTATTAATGATGAATAAATTATCTTTTTGTAAATTGTGTACCTTATTGATTATTAACAATGTTATGCCTATATTACAGTTGCAAAAGTCAACAGGTAAAAGCAAACGTCGCCATTGTGACTAAACATGACGCTGCTTTGACGTAGAACGACATAGGTCCCCCTTAAGAAATTGTTCATACGTAGAGCATGCTCTTGCGTATCGAATCAAGTGAGATATATATACTCCGTATGCAGGTGATGAAGGTATATTGCTGCATAAGTAAGGGAAGTTGACAATAGAAAAGTTAGAAAGTCATCACGTTTATCATATAGCTTGGTTGTTAGATTACCATTAGTGTCTTTTTCAAGGAGAATATCCAAGTATGAAGTAGAAGTGTCGGACTCTGCGGTATCTTTTATCTCAAGCTAACCAGGATATGGAAATAACGATTGAACTACACCCAGTGTTGAATATTTACACTACATGGGATCACTGTTTGTAGCATATTCTACTACGATTATTGCTGAGATCAAAGAAATGCCGCGGACATTATTCTCCGATAAATCACAAACGTCATCAAAACATTATCAGATCAGAAACACGCATCAAACCTGTGCAGCTGAATTATACATTTGATTTAAGAATAGAATAATACTAAGACCACATCAATGTGCCGTTTTTCGCAATTTAAACACCGAGTGGCTGATGAATGTAGATTTCTAAAGCGAAGCGGGGCTGTTTAACGGATTTCGCTACGCCATATTAAAGCTCCGTAATTTTAGTGATAAAGTGGTGAAATAGGAAACTTATTTTGTTATAATAATTGTATATTCCAAGAGATTAATCTATAAAAGCTACAAAGATACATGTATTTATAATTAATAAAAGGCTAATTTTAATGCGGCGAAATCACAACTCGTTTGCATTCTTTTTTACACAGGTAAACAAATTTACACTCTCGTGACCTAATTTGTTTCTGTATAGAGAAAGGATCAGCCGTATTTTATTGCTACTTAGTAGAATAGAGATAAAGTCCTTGTTGCTGTTAACATTTCTCGAACCTCGGAGATTATTCTCAACATTCACGAAAACGCTGACTTTATTTTTTAATTAACGTACTTGTTTGCATTTATTTGATCAACTTTGTTTGACAGTACGACACGATTATCATTTTGTACGTCTGGGATTCGAACCCGGACTCACTCAAATGTGAAGCGAGAGACATATCACTACACCACCGAACCACTTTATAGGCAATGATGAAGTCACATACATGTATATATTCACGTTCCATATCGTCAAAATTTTTACACAATGCATGGTGTCTAATTTAACCTTTATTAAACAGTTCTAACAGCTGTAATAAGAATATAAAGTCCGCCGAGAACCCGTTTTATACTTAATAACTCTCCTCATGCCTCTGTCCTAAAAATAGCGACATGTAATACAGAAAATACTAATAAAAAGAACGGAGTTGGACACTCTGAGAGAGAGGTTACAGAGGTCCTAGGGAGTTTTGTATAAAATTAAATTGCGAAAACTCAAAATCCTCTTGAGATATCGCCCAAAAGGATAGGGTAACACAAAGAAAAGAAGTATAATTTTACGACCTTGAACTTTGACCTTTTGATCTCAAAACCGATAGGGTTCTTTAGTCCATAGGGAGTAGCTATGCAAAATTTCATTGCAAAACCTCAAAGTGTTCTCGAGATATCGTGTGGAAACAAAAACGTTACAGACAGACAGAATGACGGACGGACGCACGGACAGACCCAAATTTATATCACTCACTTTTCAAGCGGGGGACAATTAAGAAAATTCAGAAATCCACAAAATTCATGACTGACTTTCCAGTGATTTTAGTGTTTGCTAATAAATTCAGAATTGTACCTGTATCACTGAATGCGACACTTGGTTGATTGATTGTATACTGTTTAACGTCCCTCTCCAGAATATTTCACTGATATGGAGACGTCATCATTGCCGGTAAAGGGCTGCAAATTTAGGCCTTTGCTCGGCACTTACGGCCTTTGAGCAGGGAGGGATCTTTATCGTGCCACACCTGCTGTGACACGGGGCCTCGGTTTATACGTTCTCATCCGAAGAACCTCCCCATTTAGTCGCCTTTTACGACAAGGGGGTACTGAGGACCTATTCTGTCCCGGATCCCCACGGGGAGCGACACTTGAAAGTAGGGACAAAAGACAAAATGACCCTTTCATTTCCTTTGTTAATCTTATCTTTTTTTAACTATTGCTATAAAACTGATCAAGTCAGGGTATGAAATTTAATTTAGGAGAAAGATCAGAACTACATATAGTAATGTGTTTTTAATGTTTGCATTTTTAGTTTACATGGGTGTATTGCGACAAAGATGAGCTCTGCAAAGTGTTTTATAAATTCCCTTTTCCCTCGATTGGATTCAAAAGGACTAGTCAGCTTCTTCAACACCTGTAATAAAATAAAATGCATAGAATAAAAATGTTTATGCATATTGATGAAGTTTGATCAATAGCATGTATTAATAATTTGAACATGTCAATTTAAAGTGTTTTTACTCAGATACAAACTTTAATCAAATCATTCCTTCTTTTTTGAATTTTGAATTATTATGGAAGATATTACCAATCAAAACAATAGCCATTTTTTTTTTTTTTTTTTTTTTTTTAGATTTTCTAGGAACAATTTTTGGCGAGATTGATGATACCCTAATGTGAAATTAAGGATGAATACATATATCATATTAATAAATATTAAATAGCAATCACCTATCTTATGTCTCTTTCTTTTTATGTAGCTATATACACACACTGTTTTGTCTGTCCATGAACTAACCCAGAGGAGATGAGTTTTGTTGTCATAACTGAGGCTGTGTGGTGTGTTTATTCCTTCCGCTTGTGTCAGTATGTGTGACAGAAAGTGACCGTACTTGTCAATCATATGTACTGTGTTGGAGTACAAATCACACACCAGGATGTGTGACAGCGCATCAGTACAGATTCCATGTGGATATAGTCGTGATTGAAATGTAGGACCTGTGTAGGAGAAGAGATGTCTCCCTCCACCATCTGTCACCACTACACGACCAAAGTCAGACACAACAACATCTCCATTGCGGTTCTCTGTAATGTATATAGGGTTCCTGTACAGTTGCTGACCCTTGTTGTCATGTTGTATTGTCTGTATGTGTTGTCCTGTGTTATCGTAACGGTTAACCTTGCCTGTCATTTTATAATATAACATCACCAGTGGGTCTCCATTATGTGGGGAGGAATAGATACATCGTGGCTCCCAGAGGTCAATTCCTTTTATCAGTGTAGACTTTGTTCTATCATCTGTAGAAAATTTGTGAATTTCATTATTACGGTCTATATATATTAGTTCACCGTCATTGTCTACTGTGTGTGCTCCGTATATACTATACCATTTATAATTATCTGTTAGTCCTTTACTTTCCAGGTGATGCAAATCGTCCCCTTTTGTGTTTATCAAAATAAACACAGTAAAATTAATGTGCCTTTCACTGACCCAGATCCGGTCTGCATCGAGACAAGAAATATGTGTAATATGACCAGAAGTGTTCAGTTTAACTGATCTGTGTAACCAAGGTAAAAACATCAGTTCCAGTTGAGCTTCATCTCTTATTTGTCTTTGTCCTCTCTCTATGACATTGGTTTCACTCAGAAAGTCAACCACATCCTCCTTGATGATTTTCATAGTCAGGTTAGGCGAGGCGTTGTGTGTAATATATAGAAATTCATTTATCTTTGGGAAGAAGGTGTTTTTAAGGAACAAGAGTAATTTTACCGCTCTGTTTGCTGATTGTAGATATTTGTATTCATATTTTTCTATGCTGGCAATATTTCTCTTCCGTTGTTTTAATCTATGATTACATGTGTCCACGAGCCTTTTAACGTCAACATCACACATAACAGTATCAATCAGGTCTTTTAATGTCTGGGCTTTTGTTGACATCTTTAGTTTCACATGTTTAAGGTTAAAGATATTGGTTTGACCAGATCTTAAATTATCTTTAATGTATGCCAGTAAGACACAGTTATTATACAGAGTCTCACTTCTGATCCTGTGAATGGTGTATCTGTTTTGTTCACGGTTTCTTTTATATTCTGTTCTAATGTTCAGTATTTTGTTTTGTTCATGTTTTTTACACTGTGCACAGAAAGGAAATTCACCCGTATAACAGTACCTTTCATATACTAATATTTTGTCTGTCTGTCTTACGCAAGTCTCGAGATTTGGGATGTCATACTTCTCACGGTAAATCACAACATCGTGGTATATGGTCTCTAGATCAATAACATGTCTCTCTTTACATTGTAGACACAATTCATGTTTACACGTGTTACAGTAGTATTCTGTGTCCCCTACACTGAGAACACCGCCGTGTCTTACACTGGGCACTTGATCCTGAACCCATAATTTATAAGATCTAAGTCTCCATCATCACAATCACCTGAAAAAAATTGGAGAAAATCAAAATAGTTAAAACAAAAAGCTTCTAAATTGATTATGACTTAATTAGATATTGATTTCTTTCTGTTATTATTTAAACTTTTGTCATAATATTTTGTAATTATTTTCTGGGGTATAGTTATAGCCTTTGAGGAGTAAAAATCCTCGGTGCCTTTTCTTACTTTAGACACAAGTCATTTTTACATGTGGGACAGTTAAATTCTTCATCTTCCTGACAAGAGAAAAACACTGTCGTACTTTACCCAGGGAGTTGGGGGTGGGAGGGGTAAAATCCTTGTGTGTTCATGATTTTGAGGGTAAAAGATAAAAAGAGATTCATGATCTCATAAATCCTTTAGATGATACAAAGCAAGGAAAGGATAAATTTAAGGACCCTTGGAACAGTCACCTTTCCCTGTCGAGCTGTCTAAACATCCTCGAGCTATCTATATAGAGTAATCTGTAATCAATATGTTATCAAAACTTACATAAACCAATGTCGTAACAAGTTGTAGGAAATATGTAAGAAAAAAATAATCTGTTGACATGAAATATCATACAGGTGACATTGAAATCAAATTTATCCAAAATGAATGTTTGATAACGTAGAATTTATATTTCCATTTTAATCTTGAACAAATGAATTCCAACAAAATGTGTACCATCCATACTTCCTACTTTGCTTAGCCAGTTACCAAAATGTTTTTATAAAGTTAAAAAAAATTGTTATTATTCTATATACTCGATTTTCATTATATCGCAGGTTTTATTGTATCGCGGTATATTGCAAAAATTCGGATACATTGCCTATATTCTTTTTTATTGATGGACAATCTTATGTTGTCTGAATGCTTACAATTTTGATGATTAAGAAGTATGGGACATCCGTTTGAAAAAAAATTCATATAAAACGTAATTTTACGCCTTTATTGCACAGAAAAGGGGGCATATCAAAACACAAAAATAGGACTTATTTTATCCAAGTAGATATTTTATCGCAATAGGTTTACATAACATCAACAAACGATGCGATACTGTATTTGTTTCTATAACTTAAATTATTCTTACATTTTGAAATAATTTTCTTTCCACACTCAAAAAAAATAGTGAGTATAAACACTTCAACATGTTCGAGGAGAAAGACTAAAATCGTTACCTTTTGGTTGTATTGTTTTTTTTCTAACATACAAACTGAAATAAACCAAGATAAAATTAATACATCTCTACCAAGAAATTGATATTCCAAAATAAATTATGTTCCAAATATGTTTATTAATAAAAAAAAAAGGTTTTCTAAAAACATGTAAATAATAGAAATGCCAGAATGAGCCAGCTTTCAACAAGCACAGTCGAGCTATATAGATCATCGAAACATTTTAGCGCAATTCAACTTCATTTTAACTGTGACGTTATTGTATTCAATTGTGACGGCAGTCAAGGGTACTGTAACGTGCCTGAGTGACGCTGCGTTAAAACGTATGCTCAGGTAGCTAAACACAGTTTCGTATAAAATCCAGGGGGTTTTTCCCAGAGAGAAACATGCTGGGTAGGGATTTCCTGCTATTTATAGGAGTCTACATGAAAACCGCATCTTTTTATTTTTATTCGCATAAAGTAGAGTCTTATCTTAATATCTAAAGAAGAAAATGTGCATTCATTTTTAGAAGAAAAAAATTTTTGAGACTTTAAATAGGGGGGATAACTCCCAAAACATCCGGTTTTCACATGTGCAGAATTACATGAGTCAATTAGCAGGTAATATAGCTCTTTGAAGAGGTGGAAAAATGTACCCTAAAAGCACACTAAAAGAAAACCATAGGACTTGTTCTGTGAAATGCATACAATCTATTTTGTCTGATTTTTTCTGTTTTTGTTGAGCAGGGGTGTTAAAAATGCATAGGTGCACTGAAAATGGATGCATAAACAACCCAATATCCCCCATATTTCAGGTGTCAAATACCCCCTTGTAGTAAATGATGAATGTATTATAGTTGGATATTTACAAAATTCACAATTTTAACTTTGCAATGATATGCAGAAGTCTATGTAACAAGCCTCCATTTTATTTTTTTACAGGGGTCAGTTTTGCTTGTCCCTCACCAAGTAACGTCCTGATAACGTCATACATAAAACTGTGTTTTGCACCCTCAGATTCAAGTAATATCGTGCCTCGTTAAATGTATAATATCAAGTCTGATCCTTAGAAAATATTAAAATTTATGACCAGAACAAAATCAATGACGACAGATAACCCTGGGAAAAAATCTTTATTAAACTAATTAAAAAAAAATTCTTGACTGAGCTTTGACCACTTTCCGTTTAGCCGACTATGATTTATATACCACATATCCGGATTTGGCTGACTGAAGAAATAAAAGAGATTTAATAATCAATGAACATATTTGGTACTAATTTCCTTATGATAACATATGTCCCACAAATATTTCAATATCCAAACAAAAATTGATTAAACTGATTATGTCTTTAAAAGCAATTTCTTTACACAAAATAAAAGTAAACATTTAAATGTAGCAGAGAACGAAATACCTCATAAGCGTAAAGTGGTAAATGTCAAACTCTCTGATGTAGTCCTAGTTCGAGAGGACCTCACAAAATGAATATTATATATCCAGCCACAGATTCTGGGATATAGTTTTTGTCCCATGTTTTACATAGCAAATGTGGTTCAATAATACTGCTGTTTATAGTACTTTTTCAGGTTCACAGTGTCATATGACTGATATCAAGTGTACGAGGGGCGTTCAATAAAATAATAATGTCATCAGGGCTCGGAAAGCAACAAAAATCGCTTTTCTATGATTTTGTCTTAATGATTTAACTTAAATATTCTCTTTTAATTAAAAAGACATGTCCGTAATATTTTTATTCAATTTCTTATTGTTTTTAGAACACCGTTTTGAGTATGACCCTTCGTATACTGGAAAATGTCAGATCCTATGATTTGCTGTTCTCGTTTTTCTCTTTCTGAAAGGTGCTTTCCTAAGTTTGGGAAATGAAACAAGTCAAAGAATAGAAGATCTGGCGAATATTGTTGATGTGACAAAACATAACTTTTTGTTTTCCCCAAAACTCCTTTACTCTTCATGGCCTGTGGATTTGGACGCTGTCAGGAAGAAATTTAATGTCGTGAATTCCTCATTCTGTTTCCTTCCTCTCATAAACCTTTCAATTTTTTTGCGAATATTTTGCTTACTAGACTCCTCCAGATATTGAACTGCCTCTCTATATATGTATTCGAACAATAAGACCGCTAATATTAAAGAAAATAGCGTATAGAACTGCTTTTGTGTTCTTGCAATTTTTTGCTCTTCTTAAGCCTTTGCAGTTTTGTCAAGTACATTTTATTCTAAATTTGTTTTGAGGGTTTAACGCAAAATGGATTCAAGTTTCATGATCTGTTTGAATTTCAGAAAAACGTGGAAACGAACAATTTTTGATTTTTTAAAAATATCTTTTAGATTTTCTACACGCTCTCGTTTTCACTCATATTTATAAATATAGGATGACCTTTCAGTATTAAACTCTTTTAGGATCAAATGTTTCTTTAAAACAGTGTAAACTACCCCCGATATGATGTCTATCAAATTTGCTATGTAACTTAAAGTCAATAAAACATAATCGGTGATAATTTGTTGAATTATCCCAAATATACATTGGTTGTTGTATGTCCTTGTTGACAAGGAGGGTACCCATTTTTTATGCCCATTATATAATTTTTGTTAATTGAAATCCACCTGTTCATGTGTGTATGAAACAGACAAAAGTTGCAAGTAAATTTCACATATTTCAGTTAATATATTTTTGGGAAATTAACAAGTTTACAGCAGCTTTAATGACGCGTTCAATTTTACTCTAATTTACTGATTCTTGACCATTCTTTTTTAACGCAGTGTCTCGAGTAGCCCTTGTTTTCCAGCTTCCCACAATGAAATTATGCGATGAAAAGTGTTCACGTAAACTGTTATAAATTCATTAAAGATTCAATAATTAGAAAAAGTCAAGTTTAATGTCATATGCTTTCTATGTTGTATGTCATGGAGCTGATGACATTATGTATTGAACGCCCCTCGTAAAGAGGAGTAAACTTTGATAATGTTGTTATCAGGCACTCTAAATCTTAATATATGTAACTTATCAAAGACCTATATATAATAAACATATGTCTAGTATTTTAGTTGAATGTTTTATTCGAGTTGGCAGGTATTGTCCACAGTGGTCTACACAAAAGTGGGGCAGCCGGCAAAATGGCATACCCCCAACATTAACAATACGTTGTGCCCTTCTCTACTGGCAAAGCAGCACGTTGGGTAGACCTCATTCGTGCTACGGACACATTTCAACACAAATTATCTTTTAATTATATTATATTGCTTTAAATTTACAATGATTAAGATTTAATTTTCAAAGTTAACATCACATATATCAACATCAACTATTACATATATCAACATCAACCAGAAAAAGTCAACAAAATCAACAGTTCAATGGTTAGATTGAAGGTGACGATTTCACCACATGGGCACCTTAGGTGCCCACCGCCACCTGGTGGGGGTAGGCAATTTCAATTTAACCCCCCACCATTGACCCCATTCCTCCTCAAAACTGTTAGCAACACATCCATAGTGAACATCACTCTTTCTCTCTCTCTATTTCCAACCCACTGTAGATCTATGCTGCATTAATATAATTTTGGTTTCCCTTCAAATTAATCGTGCCTAACGCCCCCTTCCCTGAATATATATATTTCCAATTAAGTTATTTTTCTTTGGGTCTCTATTTTAATTATTAATATCCAGTTATATTACTGAGTCATCAAGAAGGAACTAATGTAAGAAAATTATGAAGAAATACGTTTATCTTGATTTACACCTACCCCCTTTTTAAAACTTTTTTATTCATTTGAGTTTTATTTCTTATCTATTTATTTGTATTTA